AATCACCTTTAAGCGAAAGATAATTGAATCTCGGCGGTCAGCTTTCGTATACCTGTCTCCCGCGATGGATTTAATGCAACAGTTGCTTGTGGATTTTGCGTGCAATCTGTTATTTCTTGATTACTTATCCATTTCAGGGAAAGACATGCTTGTATTAGATTACCACTGATCTTCTTATTAGAGACCTAAGCGACGGTGAATAAATCAAAGTTTAACTCAACGTGAAGACATTTTTAAGGAAAAATCGAAAAATTTCTTAAAACTCCATTTTGTCAGATTTCAACATTTCTCGGATATCCTAATGATAAAACATGTCTAGTTTAAGAGCGTTTTTGTTTTTTTTTCATTTCAGGTACCCTGGCGAACTGTATGATGTCAGCAGTTGGGGCGCTTCTTTATGGCGTCCGAGAGATAGCGCATAACTTTTTCGCCTTTAGTTATTTTTGTACGACAAAATTATTTTACATAGTTCATTTATAGGCAAATACATCCATAAAGTTTAAAAGAATTCCCAAAAATGACGTAAATTTTAGGCGGTCACACTGGTAAGGCCCTTTAATAAGAGAAGCGACCAGCGGTAATCTGTAGTGCAACATGTCACTGCGAACGAGCTTGGTGAAAATATTAGGATTACACGTCCGTATAATCCTAAGCTGTTAAGGTGTGCCTTCATAAGGAATAATTAATTACCCCCACACGTGCAACATACGTATTTACGTACAAATACGTTCGATGCACATGTATATACGTATATGTACATGTTAGAAATACCTTAATTCCAACTATCGCCTAGGAAGCAATTAAACGTCCGATGATTATCTATTTCCTACCTAGATCTCCGTCCCTCGCGTTCACCTTCCGTCCTGATCCTCCAGTTCGTCTTCGCACAATGATGCATGAATTGAATCGGAAATTGTCACGAAATCAGTGCTGGCTTGCTCGTTTGGCAACATTACACGTCAATACCATACGACACGTCGACGTTACGCACAATACATGTACGTATATACATGTACATTATCGTTTACGAATCAAACAATTCATTAAGCCTTTGTTTCAATGGAGACATCGAAATCAGATTGAACAATATCGGTTTTCACTTTCCAAGATATGTACGTCCTATAATCCCTGTCAATATGTTATAAAGACGAATGAAAAGAACGTTGTCGCAAATAGAACGCAATACATAAACCGTTATTTATTTGACGTGTTAATCAGTCGATTTTTCTTTAGATGACATTTTAATTAGAACGTAGAATAAAGGATGGTACGTATCTGCAGTAAACGTAGCACAAGTGTTTTCTAAATCTCCAGTTTACATCTGTGTATTCATTGTTACATATTAATTTTGAGTAAAAGATGAAAAATATACATCAAGTTTTATAAAAATTTCCATGTGTATTATCATACAAAATTGTCTACAGAAAGTATTTATACACTACACTATATTCTGCACTCATACTGTTTATCTGTATTTATTATTGATATAATTATTGATTGTTATATATTATTGATTAAATCATTATAGTGCATACATTGTCAAAAATAAACAGAACGTAACTATACAGAAAGAAAAAAGAGGTTCTATAAGGACTGATCGAAACGGAGCAAATATTTAAGCACCAGAACTCGTTCAATTTTAGATATTTGACTTTCGTAACTAAAAAAGATCCACACGAACGTGGAGAGAATATAATTTTACCCCAGCTAGGCTATTGGACAGTTTTTTTCTGTCCGTTCCCTGGCGAACTTGCGAACTTGTTCGTTAACTTGAGTAGAACGGACGTGAGAAAGGATTCAAACGGCGAACGAGCGAGAGGCTGTGCCGCTACAAACTTCGTTTTAATTCCACGGTATTCCCTTGGTATAATTTACCGCGTAATCAACTGAAACATCGCAGTGGGTTATTCGAACCGTAGCTAGGGTTCCCGGATTTTTTACGTTGTGTCTGTGATAATTTAAAGTCGAAACCTATGTTTCATCATCGTTCCGATAACGGAACGTTAATACGTAGTGCACTGATGCACGCGTGTAGCTCGTGCACGTCGCCCCGTATTAATTTCTCAGGCATTCCTGGTATCGAGAATAAAAACCTGCTTGTAAATCATCGCGGGAACGCGCAGATTATCTATGATGATTACGCAAACGCATACTTTCTCGATATTTTAGCTAAAAATTATGTGTGTGTTATTCGACGAATATTGAGAAGTACCCCAAATCCCTAACGAAACATCCTTCCCAACAAGCTGCTATTAATGACCAAACATTTACAGACTCTCGTTGCTCTTTTTTTACAACTATACATTGTAATATTTTAGGAACAATTGCGAAATATTCGAAACACAGCGTTTTCAATACGCAGACACTGACTTTATTGATATACTCTTAAATTATTGAAATATTTCCGTGAAAAGAACAGAAACTTACACTAAAATTCGATACGAAACAGCTCACCACCGATTCGTCTGTAACATTCCGACAACACTCGAACGTCGATAAATCGTTGCACTATAAAGAAATCTGAGATTTAGTCACACATTTGAGGAATAAATAACGGAGCAAGACTTCACAAAAGCTTACCATTTTCCTTTTCTTGCGTCATGGCGTCCCGTTACTAGCAAGCGCAAATTATGTACAGCGATGCGTGATAATAAATTATCCATATGACAATGCATATTAGGTAGAGAGTCGCATACGTGATTGAGATCTTGAATATCCAGGCGACGAGATAGCTCTTCCAGTCCAGAGACTGATACATGTTTGCTCAGAAAAAATATCGACCTCGTCAACAGTGCTCTCAATTCATCTGATCGTCGATTGAATCGCGACTCAAACAATCGTTGCCACGTATCTCTGGTCGTTATTGCAAAACCACGCGTATATACCTCGATCTGTTTCTTTCGGTCCACGTTTGTCTCGATGCAAAACTCGAATCACCGGTCTCACTTTTTTTACGTAAATTCGAGAAGAATCGTGGCGTCCACTCAAATCCGTCGTGGATACACCGGTTGTTCAATATCGACGGTTACGACGATAACTGCCTTGACGCGTACAGAACGGAGGCGTAACGAAACAACGGGAACAAGTGACTGCAAACAAACGCGAATCTCGTTTCGTGCCATTTTGTTTATCGCTCCCTTGCATCTTCTAGATTTACCTGAACCCCATTTCAGCGACATTGTACACGAGAGATATAACGTTTCATTTTCACAGAACAATGTTCACCGATCAACATTTTACACATGATCATACGTTTCAATCAAAATAAATAAGATTTCTTTATTATCACTGCGAATTTTATGCATTTATAGAATTTGATGTGCAGAAGGTATGAAGAATGCATTTAATGTTTATAATATTTTTGAAGGATAAAAGGAAATTCAATTAAGATTTATTTTTTTAAATTGTCTTTTTGTATCTCTTTTGTAGAATTTTATTTTCCTTAAAAATTTGCAGTCTAATTATCAGCGCGCACATAGATTATTGTTTTTTTAATACTTTGTAAAGGATCGTGCTCGGAATTGAGAAGGATCGTTCCGGGACGCCTTCGGAGCAGAGGATACTGTCGGAACTCGTCAAACCGAGTGAACGGACTACAAAGTGCAACCTCATTCGTTAATTTACACGGCGTGGAAGTTATTGCAAAGGCGACCGGAGCGACTGTCAATTTCTGGCTCCCGTGTGCCGTAACGAGGAATTCTCACATAAATCAGAGTTATTAATGGATGCGCGCGTGTCGGTACTGTCGGTACACGGTACCGAGCGAAGAAGATCAACCGCGGTTATGCGCGGGTATGACTCTCGACAAACACTTAACTAATCTCGTGTACTCAGCCGCAAATGAGCCCTCTAATTTAATAATAAATATGTATATGTATACATATATATGTGCGAGTGGCATGCACATCTGTGTGCACGTGTAATCTGTGCCTGTTGCATATTCATCGTCACCTAATAATCGTTCACCTGGTCCGCTTTACCGTAATCCTCGGCAGAAGGGAAGTTAAATCATTAATCACGAACTCGAGGACAATCTGGACGAGTGAAGAATTGAACGAGTCTCTCAGTAAAAATAACGAAATTGCAATAAGGATAATACGGGCGACGCGAGAGTTCGTGAAAATAATTATTCAGCAACTACAGCTCTTGTAGCTCACCATTAGCAACGCAGCCAAAGCAATATTCCAGATATCTATAATCGTATTTAAAATTGACAAATTCGTCGAATCTTCTTGTCTTCGTTCGTAGTATTTGTACCCGGCATACCCGGCGCTGGGTTTGTTAACGATGGACAATTTGTTCGTCGAGTGTTTATCGGAACACTCGTTTGAAGAAAACGTAATGAGGTCTGAAAAGGAACTAACGGGATAAAAGTATCGGTCTTTTTGCCGACAACCTCGTCTCTTTTATTTCATTATTAATATGCATCTTGCACTCGATTCGTCATCCTCGATTGTAGGCTAACAATTGCTATTTAACGAGGAGAAAAAAGAGACTATCGAAGCGCTAAATCTTTGAACGACGAAGGAACGGCACGGGGAAAATCGTAGAGCGAGACAAAGAGAAGTTAGATTAAAATGAAGAGCCGGAAAGAAGTAGATTGAAATAAAACGGAAGGGAGAACCTTTTTAATCTTTCTTGTAAACGTTTCAACGTCATGCACATACGAAGGAACGTTTTACTGTTGAATCGTGTCTGAGTTAACTTAGCCGGGCAACAAGAAAAATACGACGAACTGCCAGGCCGGGATCACTCCTCCTCGTTTTGTTTCCTTCCGTTCCGTTTCTGCGTAGATAGAAGTTGGACCGGATCGTGATGGTCGATTTAAGCGGAAGCGAACACGCGCTCGGCTCAAGTTTGAGCAGCGGAACACACAGATGCGTTCCCAAAGCTCAACGAGTTAAACCGCAAACTCGATTGGACGTCGGAAAGAAAGTCTGCAACAAATGGGCGAAGTCTGGCCGGGACACAGCCAGGCCTTAGTCATTTGACGCCTCATTTCTGTTGCCGCAAAAACCGACGTAACGACCGACAGACTTTGTACCGGTTCGCGTATCGACGTTCAATTCGTCTCACTGTATACCTGCGTCACTCTATAACGTTCCACTCTATCAGATCTGGATCTCTGCACGCTAAGTGGATGTCATCGCGATAATGATACTTTTAAGGTAGCTCGATAGTATTTGCAAGAAATGTACGATTTTAATACAAGTATTACATATATTTCACGATATCCTTACTAGTCCTTAAAATTTAGTTAAATAAAGACTGGTACATGTAACGATGGGACACCGTGATCTTAAGAAGCGTGCGCGTATTCAAGCGAATGGATGGAACAAGAACTTTCCAAAGTAAACAATTCGAAAGGATTACCGTAAAATAGGATACACGGGCGCGAGTTAAGGAGATGTATACTTGCAAAGGAAACAATCTCACGTACGGAAGAAAATATTTTCAGAGACAACGATTTGCGTAACGAAATCGGACGGGTTGCGTACAGCCGTGCATACGTATGTATGAATGGAATACGACAAAGCCTGAAAAGCTTAATAAAGTCATTGTCTGTTTTCTTATGGAAAATGAAACGGACATATTCTGTTATCGTTCCTCGGTAATCTTTAATTGGACAATTAATTTAATAAAAAACCGTTACATTTGGCAGAGTTAATTAGCTAACCAAATCGGATAATTTATAAATCTACGAGGAAATTGCGTTTCTCTCGATTATCAAACGATGTAACGTGTACTTTGAATCAAGTCTTTTTATACACAGGTTTCAGTTTGCTCCTGACTTCTTTGTACAATGTTAACTAAGTGAAGACAGTCGGCAAACTTTTAATAATTAATGATATTCTGATCGTTAACGAATGTTAGACTTCGGCATCGCTAATGAGGCGGTACATATCTCGTACCGGAGATAAGACGTTCGCCTCCTTAAAATTCAGCTGACTAACGGCGTTCTTAGGTCATAGCGCAACGCTACGATCTGCATTTTTAAAACGTCTTGAGGGGACAAGCTAAGCGGATGCACATACGAACGCTTACGTCGGTGACATCGTTCTAAGATTAAGGTCGACGGCGTGATACCGTCGCGTATTAACATTCCTGAGAGGCACAAATTGTGCCTTTCTCTAGCCAACATCGTGCATCTAATAATCCCGATCACCCCTTTTAAAATGCCCTCGGTTTCATCTTACCTCGGGCCGAGCGTCTCTCGTCTACTATGGATCAGGAAAGATACAATATTAATGACAACTGATGCACAACTTTTTTTCTAATCAAACTATAAAACACTAGACTAAAAGATCGTTGTTTTCTGTTAGTACCAGCAAGTACTAATAGAAAAGAGGACTTTGTCATTTTTACAATCTACAAATAGTGTAAAGTCATCAGTTGTAATTAATTGGCAAACGTGTCTAAAGGCCACATGTACACTTATGTACTTTTTCAGTTCCTAATGCACATGAAAAAACAAACGCACCTTCTAAAATGATTACGAGCATGCATGTGGCAATTCATTCTGCTGTACGCCAGTGTTACTCGACTCCCCGCGTTTCGATCTAGATAATACTGTAATTTTCATAAGCGTTTCAAAGCCTCTATTGTTATATCTTGCAACCCTTGCATGCATCGACCGATATTGGCCGAGCTCTTTTAAGCTATTTACATGTACTGAGGTTTACGATCGAATCTGTCGATTGAACAAGGTCCACGACGAGGAGCTGCTAACGGATAACAGTATCAAGTTCGTTCCTTGATCTATTGGACGTGCATCTAGAAGTTTCAGCTCGCTTCACCCGGAGACCGAAATCGTAGAGAGTACAAATCGTAATTGGTGATGGAAACGAGCTAGTCCGATTATCCTAATTAATTAAACCGAAAAACTGGTTTAATTAACGCAATGATAGTACAATTAATTATCTAGAAGTTCATTCGTCTGCATTGCGAAAGCGATGGCCTAATGATCGCGTTCAGAGATGTATTTCACAGGAAATCCACTATTAAGTAAAGTATATTGACTGCACGGAGATGTGAGCCAGCACGAGACGAATAGAACGGGAGAGATGTAACTGTAACTTATATGCATAATTAGGATAATCGGATTCCAGTTTGCAATTAACAAGCGAGCATCGAAGATATTATCACCATCATGTAAAAACAACAAATAAAAAGTTATTTAAAATATTTTTGATTTTTTAAACGAGAAGTCGTACTCACCTAGGAAACTATTTAATAATTGCCACTTATAAATCCCAACATTATAAGTTCATTCCACTTTCGGCTTATATTTCATAATGCAATTTCTTAAATATTCGCTTGAAACTTCCGACGTGATTAAAAGGATGAATCTAACTGAATAAGTAATTTAATCGTATATTTAATTCAAAACGTAGCTAAAATATCTTAAGCATTAAATGATCGATGTCACTTAAGCTGAGATTTAATATATATTTCTGTATCTATTACAATTTATAACAGTTATTTAAACTCATTTACTTACTAGACACCTTGTCCAATTTCAGACGTTGAGATTTCTGCACTCATATTATTATCCCGACTATAATAGTAATTAAACCGTGCGAAGCAACGCGTCGCGCGTATGTGTTCCTAATCCGAAGCAGCATATGGTCCAACATGCTCGTGGTGGTCCAGCAATGCGTCGCGACCCTATTCTTCGCTCGTAGCTTAAATTCACCGTTATAATGTGTTACACCGTTCACCGTTTCATAGCAATTTTTCGCAGGGTTATATTATCGATCAGTCATTCTTGCCAACGAGGGGTGAAGCGCAATTTATGGAACTCCTTTCCCATCCATTCTTGTCGAACGTTAGTTTCTAACGCGCTTTCTGTCCCCTTTCAATGTTCCGTTGGAACAGAAAAATATTCCTTTGGTTCTGGACGATTATATTTCTCTTAATGGAATAGCTGGCTATAAGAGCAGTGATGAAGATTTTAATCACTCGATCGACGGTGCCTCGAGTCATTCCCCTTGTAGTATCAAGTGGTGCGGAAAGTTGGCGCCGCGGCGCCGTACTGTCTATGCCGCGATAACTTACGGCTGTAGACTATCCTAGGGATTAGCAAAAAGCTATGAATAATTGAAATCAAAACAGATTAAGCAAGTACTTTAGATTATCGGTTAATGAAAGCAGATTACATGGATATCAATTTTCTTCATATTTTCGCACCATCATCGTATCGACGTAGAGCATATTTTAAACCCCTTCAACGGCATAAATCGTTTTACAGTCGCGTTTAGATTCAAATGACAGTGGCATATATAGACATCCCATTGATAACCAAAATCGATAAATAAGACTTTACGAATGGTATAACCCACGGAAACCGTCTTCGAACGAACCCTTCAACCTGGATATAATGTACATACGAAGTCCACCCCTTTAGTTTCGCTCCTTTCTCTCCCTCGTGATCTAATGGGTGCATAAATTATGCAGCCTGAAATATGCTAATGCTAGGCTTAACCGACATTGCTATATCGAGGGGCGTAATCTAATAAAAAAGTCGGCATCCTCGGAGTAAAGTCTAAGAAGCATCCTCTCTCTTTCTCTGTCAACGTATTCAATGCCGTTTCGTGCGTTTCGATAAGATCGGGTAGTTAAACTGCGCGCGCAGCTTTCCTGTGTCGTGCTAATTACAAAATCGCCCTAATTAATCGGCATAAATAGTAGCCAGATCCTAAGGTACGTTAACGTTAACACGCGAACGCACGGCGTTTATTAAGGGCGGTTATAATACTAATTCCTGAGCAAGAATCTGGTGCAATTATTTAATCTTCCGCTGGACTGTATCGTGCAACCGGTTCGACGTAAAATATTGATGCCGCGGCTCGCTGCCCGAGAAGTAAGACGTTCATGAATATTTAAGACTGGTATTAAATCCTTTAATATATGACAAACCGTTTGTCGAGGCGTCACCTTCCTTAAACTTAACGTAAATAATCATTTTACTTGAATATTACCTAGCGACAGTGTATGTCATTTTTTGTCACCCCCTCAAAGAACGAAGCAATCTATGTACAGCAGAGTTGAATGTAGTGTAACACAAGAGCTCGGGCTGATTCATTATACATAAGCACTGGGTGTCTCGTCTTCCAGCTGAAGCGTTTGTAATTGCATCAGACAGGAGAAGCGTCAGGCAAAGTATATACCTACATCTCGCATTAGTAATACATTGAGCATAATCTCGAAATCTGGGATAACGGTACCATTGTTTGCGGTTAATAGGTTTCCCGCAAAAAACCTGTAGTATTTGCCCTAAAAGGTCAATATTTAAACTGGGGTATTTTCGTAGTACGAGAGCGTTTTGGACTTCGTCCAAACATCAGAACACGATATATCGTTACACAATTCCCAATATTTCGCGACGCTTTCATCTTAGCGAGGAACCATTTATCTGCCTAGCTCTAAATAGAAATTCTAGTTTGATTCGAATCGGCGACGAACAGTCGGTTAAACGGCGGAGAACGAAAAGGGCAACTTTTCAACCTCCGCTGACTCGAAGCGAACCTATTCCAAGAGTTGATCGCTTTTCTTCAATCCACGTCAGAGTTTCTTCCTCTTCTGTCGTTTTCTTTCTTTACGTCGTACGTTCGGCCACTGTTCTATGGGCAAGGGGTCGTTAGTCAAGATAACAAACTAAGGAAGCAATGGATGGAAGGGGCGAAAGGAGCGGAGATCTCGTACAAAACTGTATTACATTCATTTTACTGGCAAATGACCGATATATCTAATCATTAGAAATCTGCATAATGGTCAGTTAGCGTGCTTCGTACACGCGCTCCGCGTACACTTAAACTTGAAACGACCACTTTCTCCGAATATTTAGGAATATAGCTAGATAAAATATTTTTGGTAATGTTCATTAACGTGTCATTGAATCAATATTATTCTCTGATTAATAGTCTGACGAAAACTAATCTAGAAAACGTTCTGACACGATCAACAAAATATCGTTGTAGATATAATTCAATAGTAAGTTTTGTATAACAATATACATATTATTGTTGTATATATATTATATAAATGGTGATATAAATATATATAATAATATACATATTATATGTTGATCGTGTCAGAACGTTTTCTAGATTAAATAACTATAGTTATTTGAAATCGTATTCTCCAGTCCGAGCTTTAAAAGCACCAATATAAACTCTTGGGTGACCTCGCGTTACTTGAAGAACTAGTAGTGACATCTCCTAGAATACTGCGGAACAGATTCTGTTCTCGAGAATGAATTTCGTTTCAAAATTTAATCTTAAAATATAAACGTGAAATGTTCCTTGAAGATTTAAGAAATTGAAGATAATATATACGAAAGTTGTTTAGAGATCAAGACAAAACTAGATGCTTTTCAACTGAACAATGCAAATCTCAGAAATTCATTTCGTACACACCAATCTAATATAAAAAATATGATAGCTTCGGCATCTATTTTTAATCGTTGGGTACCATTTCCTTCCTCAGCTGCTCCTCAATTCGATGCATATGTATTCGACACAAATATCAGGAAGAGACGATACGGTTGACCTGTCGCGTTCTGTTTCACTTATAATGAGATAAAACTACGATAGGCGCAATTGTACATAACACAATGATCAAACAATCGGTGTAATGCAATGGGACTGACTGAACTTGAAACGCGAGGGAAAGAACGATCGTAAAGGAGGAGGATGGCCAATGTCGAAACATTTGGATGCCACTTATCCAGCCGGGCACAATGCATTGATTAATGAAGGCCATCAAGACCGACACGCAGTACCAGCTAAGAATTTAATATGGGCCAACACCGTGTGATGCCGTCCGAATGTTTTACTAGCCTGTCTAACGATGCCCAAGGTGAGAGACGAACATATTTTCATGTTTGATATACGTTCTCCTGTCAGACATGTCAGGCGGCTGGTTCACCGAGAATGATTGCTAATAAAGATAAAATAATGATCCTATTTCTTTCCCGAAGTCATTTTTCGATAAAAAATATACACAGTAAGTCGTCTGAGATTGTTACGGATAACTTAGTGCATCATTTCGTACCCTTGTGTGATAAAAATAAGGCGTCTAGACTCAGATTTTGTTTATAGCTCCTTATGTATCAAAAATATATCAATATTTCCTTTTCAAAAAATTTGATCGCCAGTAGATTGGCTTGCAGACAAACGTCGAAAAAGTTTCATTCCATTTTTCTCTCTCCGTAGATATTATACCATAAATTCGCTCGCCGGCACGAACTTCGCAGTAATACTTTCACAGACGTAAAACTTTAGTCCGGGGATCATTTCAGAGTTAATAAAAATTCGAAGACGCTTCGCGTCGGACGAAAGCCGTTCAATCTTAGTCTTCGGTGGAAGTGTATCGCGGTGGGTAATGAACACGGAACAGTTCCTTACGCTTGCTTGAAGTAGCGGCATTCAAAGTAAATTCTCTTGAATTCACGAACAATGTCTTGCAGCATTTCGTCTATCAAAAATTTGACAAATAAGTTTTCCCTCTCGTGCAGTCTTAGAACGTCACATTCGGTTATACGTTTTACAATATATCCTAATCTAATATAAAACTCATAGAGAATATATTTTCTTTAACAAACCTTATCGCCGTTTGATGTTTAAGTTGTTTCTAAATGGATGACCAGTGAAACTATTGTGCGATTCGAATAAATACAAAATAAAATTACACTGTCCGGGTGAAATGGGAGCAAGACAGTGCGACAACGGTGAACGATGATAGATCATTAGTCAACAGTTACCGAGGTTGGAGGTAAAACTCGGGCTTAAAATTCTGCTCCATTGGCGAAGTAATAGAAATGTCTTGAAAATCTGACTCTCCCTTCCGTTTCGGACCTTTACCACTTTTTCTATTCTGGTTCTAATTAATTTCATTTACGTGTTCGCTTCAAATAATGACGACCAGACTTAATTTACTTGAGTCGCTCAGCGAGAGGAAAAATTCGTCGGAAATTCCGAGAGATCCAAGCGTTCGAGAGCGGCACGGGTGCATTCTGCAATCGAATGCGGGGCAAGAAGAATACGATAGGAAACGTTCGTGAATCCTTACTGAGTTTTTCTCTTAGGTTGCTGCGTACCATGATGGAAGGAAAACCGTTTGCATTTTCGAACCAAAAACTATTTATCTCGTTTTCCTTCATTATCTATTATGACCAGTGAAATTAAGAATGGAACAGTTTGAAGTATACGAATCACATTTATACTTTAAAAATAATTAATATATTATTCGAATGAAAGTATATTTTACAGGAACATCTGTTACGTTTGAAAAAATGATATTTCATGTGCACGAACGTAATAGTTAAAACCTGGTAGAAAGCTTGCACGTCGAAGTTTTAAAAAACGTTTTAGGTCCGAAAGAGTTTTGCGAAAGGAGGGTGGGAATTAATTAAATTTTTCGATATCAAATAACGGAGATACGTTAGAAATTAAGCTATGTTTCGCTAGGTTTTCACATGAATCTTCGCACGTGTAGGACGAGACGATGAACATTTCGCTCACGTTCCAAAACGCGCGTGTTCGTGTACGCGTGAAATTTCATTTGCTAAGTATTTGCCGGCAGAGAAGCGTCGCATCACGTACGGTAATCGGTCACACCCATCAATCGTAATTATCTATGCAAATGTCGGGAATATATGACAATTAATTTTAATGACGTGAACGGATGATGGCTGATGCCTATATTAACAAATTCGTCCGCTCGTTTTTCGTGACATTTGCTCGATACAATCGGATCATGTGACGAGCCTCTCGCAGCTTTTCCCTTCTCTCTTTTTTTTTCCTTAAATCTACGGTATAACAAAAATTGAAAAACCCTCTTTCCCCCACGACTACGAGATTGGCGGTAAACAAATATAAGATTTTTCAACCATGAAAATTGCAAACGAGATTCCTCGTAACATGGAAAAACATTGGAACCATTACGAGAGACATTCATTTGGTTCACGCAGGATTAAGCGATGTTGTGGATTATCCGATTGTTGCTCGTTGGCT